ATTACGGCCTGTCACAAACACTCCCGGCCCGGAGGTTTGTCTGCCTCAAATCAGAGGAGGATGCACATTATATACAGCACTTCCTGACATCATGAGTCTGAGGGGTGGAGAACAGCGCCCTCCGATGAGAGAAGAGGAGACAAAGACGCTGTCTGAGCGCTTTGCGGTCTTTTCATCAGCGTTTCACAGACGGATGCACAAGAAGCAGAATCCTGTTTCAGATTTCTGTTACATCTACTGAGTTCCGTTTGGCGTCAGAAGCCCCAAAAACTGCGCAAAAATACGCATAATTTGCAGAATCCTTCCGTAGAAGGCTGAAGCAGCTCTGCGGATCCTGCTGCCCTGCGGGATGTCTGAACCACACCTGAAGGCAGCAGAGGAGGAGAGAAAGGGGGGAGAGAGGGGAGGGGGGGGGGCGCAGGAGGAGGAGGCAAACCGAGGCAGGAAAACAGGAAAATAGACCTCTGTTTTTACGTTAAATAGTCCTTAAATAGTCCCACCGATCGCCCAGATCCTCCATTCCGCCTGCAGACCGGGAAAAGGTCAGTCCCTGGCGCAGGTTTACGGGGTATATATATATATATATATGTCTATGTCACCCCCCCCCCCCCCTTTGGGCTGGACTTTAAGGTGCAGACCGGACCGGAGCTGCATCCTTTTGGGCCTGGTTGTTGATGGAGGCATCCGGGAGGATGCAGCGAAAACTAGACGCGTCATTACGCACGATTCCAAAACCTGTTTATTAATCTTATTAATTCCAGACATGTTTACTGATCTCTTCCTTACACCAATACCGACCTTACATGCTAAAAACACACTGATGTGGTCATCTATAGGATATGAGCATCCGTAGGTGTCAATAATACCCCCATCCCCTTCATCCCTCCCTCCCACCAGCATAAAGGAATAACTTAATGACCACAAGAGATTGGAGACTCCAGCATAAAGGAATGAATTACCTTAGCGGGGCTTTTGTTTTTGACGGTGATCTGGCACTGCTTTTTGCAGTAGTTGATGTCGCCCAGTTGGTTATCAAACAGATCCGAGGAGGCTACCACGAGCCCCGCGAGGAGAAGCGAGAGCAGGGCCGAGAAGCCAAACATCCTGCCGCCGAACCGGAGCATCCGAGGGCCGGGAGAGGAACCGGAGAGGAACCGGTGAGAAGAACCGGGAGAGGAACCGGAGAGAGAGGAACCGGAGAGAAAAGAACCGGAGAAATCTGCACTGCGCCTCCTTCAGTCCAGGTCCCGTCTGCCTCATCTGCCTCCTCTCCGCGCGTGCGTGCGTGCGTCACGCGCACCATCATCATCACCACCGCCACCACGCACGCGCCTTTCCGTTTTCTGGACGCGGACCCGGACTGCAGAGCTGGTCGTAAAAAAATCTGGGCTGATAGAAGCCGAGCTGCGGAAGAACCATCCATCAATTATTAAAGGAACTATTATCAAATGATGTAAAGATCCTAAAGTGTGGACTTTATTACCCAGAGAGATTGGAGACTCTTTATAGGATAAGATCAGAGGAGATTTCTGTCCGTAAAAGTAAACAAAAGAAGAAATAAGCTAATTTTAACATGATAGGTTCAAAGATTGGGACAATATTTAGGCCTATAGGACAATAAAAAGAAAAGAAAATCACCATCTACACAGACATCTGTTATAATATTTGTGGTCAAAAGGAGAGTTGCATTGATAACAGTGTATATTCTGGTAAAACTTGGTTTGATGTGTCACCTACAGTGGGGGAAATAAGTATTTGACCCCTTGCTGATTTTGCAGGTTTGCCCACTTACAAAGAATGCAACGATCTATAACTTTAATCATATGTACATTCTAACAGTGAAAGACAGAATCCCAAAGAAAATTCCAGAAAATCACATCATATGAATTTATAAAAATTGATAACCATCTGATGAGGAAAAATAAGCATTCTTTGTAAGTGGGCAAACCTGCAAAATCAGCAAGTGCTCAAATACTTATTTCCCCCACTGTA